CGAACACGCGCTAAACGTGAAGTTAGTAAATTCACCGTCATCCCGCCTCAAACATCCACCGGGAGTCTGAGACCACAGAGGTCAGCCCTTCCCTGACGGCAAAGACCGCGCACGGGGACGGAACTCAGAAAAACTCGGCAAGCACACTCATCGCAACGGAAGCAGGAGGCCGGGCTGGAGGCTGGGCACAGGGATGCCGCAGCACAGAGTTCCGCGCTCCTCAGAGGACCCACGCTCAGTTCCCGGCACCCACGAAATCCAGTGTCCTCTCTTCTGCTCTCTACCAGAACCTGCACACGGCAGCTACACCTGGACACATGCACACAGGCACTGCACGCGCGTGCACACAGGCACTGCACACAGGCACTCACACAAGCACACGCATACACACATAAAATAAACCTTAAAAAAAACCCACTAGACAAAATTGAACACCATCTCATGATAAACACATTCAACTAACCTGCTAGGAGGAAACTGTTTCAACATAATAAAGGTCACATATGAAAACTTTTTTAAAGATTTATTTATTATGTATGCAGTGTTCTGCCTGTATGTGGGCCTACATGCCAGAGGAGGGCACCAGATCTCATTATGAGCCACTGTGTGGTTGCTGGGAATTGAACTCAGGACCTTTGGAAGAACAGCCAGTGCTCTTAACCTCTTCAGCCACCACATATAAAAACTTAATTGCAAACTTTATACTCAGGGGTGAAGACTGAAGGCCGGGTATGGTGGTACACGCCTGTAATCTCAGCACTCGGGAGGCAGAGGCAGGCACATCTCTGTGAGTTCTAGGCCAGCCTGATCTACAGAATGAGTTCCAGGACAGCCAGGACTATGCAGAGAAACCCTCTCTGGGGAAAAACAAAACATGATGAGAGACTTGGCCTTCCTCAGTTGGCCTGAGGAAGTGGGGCTCAGTTTTCATGGCTCATGTCACCCTGGACACAATGCAGTTTTCATGCTCGCCTCCATAAAAGCCTCCATAGACAAAGACTCCAGGCAGCTGCCTCTCTGGCCTGAGTCCTTACAAAGCCTGAACTTGACTCTCATCAAAAGCTTGCTTTGCCTGCTGTTTGGGAAAGCGCTTTAGAGACAGCGGGTTTAGCGTCAGGTCAGGCGTCTCCAGTTCTCTGGCCAAGGAGGTCACTTCACAGCAAAGGAAGTGACCTCCCGCCCTCGCGCCCACGCACCTTTACTCCGGTCCTCCTGGAGTAGCCCTAGGGTGGAGGACTGCGCCTCTCCGCACCTGCACACGCCCTTCTCAGAACTGAGTGAGCGCTCTGCGTCCACAAGATAAACTTCTCTTCAGTTGCGCTCGCTCTTGTTTTCTTCCACGGTGAAGAGAGAGGCCCAAGGTCCAGCGGCCACTACAGCCATTCCTGGCTATGATTACAATTTCTAGACCATATTTAATCACTCCATAAACCAAGGCAGTGTCAGCTGCAGGAGCTGTACCTGAAAACAGAATCCTAAACGCTCGCCCTGGCGACTCTGTGACGTCCTGGGAAGGAGTCAGCACCTCAGTGTAGGTTCCCAGCACACAGGGTCTCCAGTGCAGGGTCCTGTGGCTGCAGACCCGAGAAACGCAGAGAATGCTTACCTGGCCCTCCCACCTCCCACCTCTACACAGTGGCTGGACTGGGGCTCTGGCCTCCGCCTGTCGCCAAACCTGCCCTGCCCTGCCCTGCCCTGGTTCACATAGTGGAAGCAGAGAACCCACTCCTGCAAGTTGTCCTCTGACCCCTATGATGGTGAATGCGCACGCGTACAAGCAAATCATTTTTTTAAATGAGGGGGGGGGGGGCGGTGAGAAAGTTAACAGCGATGGCTGCTCTTGAGAGGACCCAAGTTCCATCCCAGACGCCAAGGGGCGGCTCCCACCCACCTAAGTGATCTGATGCCCCCTTCTGGCCTCTGCGGGCACTGCACCCAGTTAGTGCACAGACGTAGAAGCAGGCAAAACATTCACACATAATAAAATAATCTTTATATGTGTGTTGATGAATATTTTTAAAAATTCAAAGGTACTTTAGAAAGACGGTGTCCCCAATCAACAGACCCTGTAGAAAGCTGCCGTGCCAGCAGAGGCCCAAGGTAGAGAAAAGCTCATTTCAAAGACTTTTTGGGGTGTCTCTTTTTTAATGGGTTCTGGACGAGTCATATCAGCACAGACATCACCAGTGTGGACTAAAGGAAGGGGAGAGTGTAGAGGGAGAGCCTGACTGTGGAGATGCTTGGAGCTGCTTGTGCAAGCAGCTCGCATGGAAGGAGCCTGTTCTTTTTCTTCAGCAATCGTCTTGTTTTTTTGTTTTTACTTTCTTCGCAGCAAAAAGAAAGCAAGAAGCGAGTCCAGCCTTTTGCTGGGAAACCTCGCTGTGCCGTGGGCGGCAGGGGGCCACTTTCAGCTCCCCACTGGGGGGGGCGAAGCTGTGCGCTCTTCCGCAGCTCCTGGGAACAAGCCTTTCAGCTCCTTCTGAGCTGTCCCCGGCACCTGCACCCTCAGAGCCCCTCTGTCTCATGAAGCACCCCTTCCAGCCTCAGAGCTATCCTGGGTGTCTGCTGACGGGGGGGGGGGGGCAGGGAGACAGAAACAAAGCCGCCTCAGCCTCAGGGCTGAGAGTGGTGAGTGCAGGTTCTCCGTGTGCTGGGAGTGCGTGCTGAGTGTTGTTTGGTTTGAGTCATTTCTCTGGAGGTATCCGCACCTTCCTGCCGCCTGGGAAGGACCCACTTCCAGGCTAGCCTTCGAGGCTGCTGCTGGCTAGACAGTCCTGCTGGCATCAGTCCCTCGATGCATCCACAGGCCAGTTATGCACGTGTGTTTTTCAAGGGGGCAAGCATGACGGATGTTAGCCACTGTGTGATTTTGAAAGTAGCATGGCCCATGACTCCAGTCATATACTGTTTCTGAAATAAAAATGCTCTCATAGGTCAGACCAGCCTTGAGGGCTGAGGTCACTGTGAGGCATGAACTCTGAGAAGTAGGTGTCACAGGGGTCTCTCAGGGATGGCTGCCACAAGGTGACTCCAGCAGACCATGCAATGTAACCCTGGAGAAAGAAGTGGGTATTTCTCAGAAGTCATTTGAAGCCCCCTGAAAGAATCCTCAGCACCACAGCAGCCCTAGTCACACACGTGGAAGCCGCAGCGTGCTGCCCAGAACCAGCTCTGGCGAGCACAGGGCTGGAGTGCCCACCGCCCCTCTCTCCCCACCTGGCCCTCCTCAGTCTGACACTTGGCCACTTGGGGGACTTGGGGGACATACTCATTAGTTACACAGGGCAGGGCCACAGTGTCCAGACCCGGGGAGGCCTTTCCACCTTATCCTGAGGTGCCTGGCCCAGGAAGCGCATCTGCAACAGCCAAGTGCCTGGCAGTCCTATCTGCCCCTGGCAAACTCACTCTGGAGGCATTTAGGCCTCTTTTCTCACCACAGGGACACAGGCGACTTATGCCTGACATACGATGTTAGAAATATACAAAGGGAAAATCCTGCGTGTATGTCTTTAAGTGCGTGTGTGCGTGCGTGCGTGCATGCGGCAGCTGCTGCCTCCTCATTCCTGAGCACACTCCTGAGTGGAGGACTTGGCCTCACACCCTGCTCCTTCATTCTGGTCCACCAGCCAGTCAGGACCAGCGCTGACTATCAGCTGGAAACTTGGATCTGACTGGGGGTATCTGAGGTCATCCCAGAGTCCACAGGCAGAAAGCCTGGCTGGGGCCATTTTATTGGATCAAGGCCTGATATTCCAAGGGACTGGGACCCAGAGTCATACGAGCAATCTCTGAAGGCCTCAGTGCAAGCCGATGGAGAGTTAGAAGGGGCCTTCCAGCTTCCGGTCCTAGGGCCCAACCCAGGCTGGGAACTGCATTCTCTGCAGAACCCCATCCAGAGCATGGGGAACCCTAGTTTTCCTCTGCTCCAGCAGCAGCCTGGCCTTAACCACAATGCTGAGGCCATGGAAGTTCTCCCCACTGTTCCCATATGGGCCTTCTCATCTCGGAAACAGAGCCTCAGAGAGATGTTTGAGGTCTGGCAGGAAGGCCAGCAAGATGTGTGTGAGAGCGCAGGCACACCCACACATACCCACACACTCTCTCTCTCTCACACACACACACACACACATCTGTGGCGGTTTTAAGGCTTGCAGATACCCTGAGCCTTGCCTCAGGAGGGGAGGTGACGGCAGGACAGTGCAGGCAGCTGGTCCTCTCCAGGCGAATCTGCAGTCGGGCTCTGAGACATGCTCTTTACGTTACCGGGCCCTCTGCTGAAGGATCACATGTCGTATAAATAAAAGTGTGCAGACCTGTCACGCCGCTGCTCAGAAAACTTTCCACTCACAAGGTTAACTCTCAGCTCCCCGGTTTGTTTCAGGTCACGCACGCAGCACATGCACGTTCCAAAGGTCAGTTTTTAAACACTGTCCAGCAGCAAACTGAGGCGTTGAAGAACTCCTGGCCCTTACGCGTCTGCCACTGTCCAGCTCTGTAGGTGTTCAGACACACACACACACACACACACACACACACACACACACACACACACAGTCTGACTCTAGAAAACAAAGCAACAGCCCTGGCTCCTGGCATCACTGCTGCGGAAAAAACCCAGTTTGGGGGTGGGGCTGCTCCTCTCCAACTTACAAACTTTTGTCTGCTGGAAAATAACTCAAAGGCAAGGTGTGTGAAAACTTTAGGCGTTAGGGACTAGGAGATGGCTCACTGGGGAAATCACTTGTGCAAACCTCAGGACCTGAGTTCAAGTCTCACTTCTCCTTCGACAAGATGCGACAGAGGAATCAGGAAACCCGTGAACAGCGAAAAGCTGACACTCTGTCTCAAACAAGAGGGGAAGACCAAAACCTGGCTGCCCGTTCACACACGTGTGCTCACACACATACGCACTCACATCACATACGCTCACAATAAAAACAAAGCGTTAAAAATGAAGCTTCCGGGACGAGAGCTTTACACATACGCCAGAAAGGCACATGTTAAAAATTACCAACTTCTAGTTTTATTTCCAACACGGGGATGTAAACGTCAATCACAAGGTGGGGCTGAGCTACCTTTGTGCTTGTGCGCAGTTGTCCCCCACACAGTGTCCCCTTTCAAACCAACGCGGCACGAGTCATAGCTATATTTAGGAATTCACGTTGAGGAAGATCCTACTGCTGGGTTCAAGGCTGTGAAGGAGAAGGGAACCCACCCCGCAGCTGCAGAACACTGTCTTTCCTGCACGCTCCAATCCAACGCTCACAAGTTGCTATTTACAAAGACTAGACGGGGTGGGAGCGGGAGTCCAGAAACGAGCCGATCGAAGAGCAGGGCTGTAAGTTCTCTGTACAGGAAAAACAAAAACAAAAACGCAGTTTTTGGCTTCTTCTCATAGCACAGTCGGAGGTCAACGGAGGGGGTGAGCGTACAGACACGGCCTCCTGTTTGCGGGTTCCGTAGCTGTCTGGGAAAAGGCACTGAGCGCTCGGGGCGCGGCGCGGCGCTAGCCAATGAACCTCTCGGCCGGCCACGTCTCCAGGGCGTTGGCGGGGATGCGCGGGGCCTCCGGCGGCGGCGGGGCCAGGGCCTCCATCTCGCGCACCACCTGCGTGAACACGCGGTCCACCATCATTTTGCTCTTGGCCGTGACCTCCAGGAACGGGCAGCGCCACTCGCGGGCCAGCGCGCGGCCCTGGGCCGTCAGCACCTGGCGCTCGGCGTCCAGGTCGACCTTGGTGCCCACCAACACCAGCGGGACGGCGCGCGGGCCCCGCAGCCGGCCCATGTGCTCCCGCAGCGGCCGCACGGCCTGGAACGAGGCCTCGCTGCACACGCTGTAGAGCACCACGAAGCCGTCGCTGTTCCTGATGTACAGGTCCTTGAGGGTGACGAGGTGCTCGGCGCCCACCGTGTCCACGATCTCCAGCAGCGCGGGGGCCCGGTTCACCTCGATCACCTTGCTGAACAGCTCCTCCACCGACGGCTCGCAGCGCTCGGGGAAGCGGCCGCACGCGAACTGCGTGGCCAGCGCCGTCTTGCCCACCGCCACGCCGCCGAGCAGCACCACCCGGTAGCCCTTGGCGGGGCGCGGCACCAAACCCTCCATGGCCGGGGCG